TCAAGCTTAGGGTCACCTTGTGTGAGTTGTGCTGATTTTCACAATATGTCTTGGCTTTTAATGTGGATACTTGAAGACTATGATACTAATAACTAGAGATTGAAGCATGTTGTGGACATGGAGGAACTGTTTGGACACATGAATATTAAAGTTGGTTCTAAGCTTTGTGATCAGGAGTACAGAGTGATTACAGTTCACCCAGAATAGAATTTCATTTTCCTTGTTGGGAAGGATAGAACACTGATTGCATATGACATGAATCGCAAAAAGGTTCATGTCATCCATGCCCATGTCATCCGCTTTTGTAGATCAAGAGGGTGTTTCCATATGAACAGGTCTTACTATCTTCCTTATGTTCCCTTGTTCATGGAGTCATTAGCAGAGTAGTAAAGGTGCATTTGTTGTATTTCGTCGTCACGACAGTCTTTGTTCAGGTAGGGAGTTGTTTTTATTCTATGAATGTATAGGCCAATTTTGGCTTGTTAACTAAAGGAATGGTATGTTCAATATTATTAATTCTGCTGCTTTGTTCAGATTGTGGATCAGAGATGAAGAAGAGGGGTTCCATGGTGCATTGGCTATCAATCCGAAGGATGCATTAATTATATTCATTTATGCCTAGCAAGCAGGAGTGCCACATGGGAGGAGCACAGCTACGTCGTTTCATTATGTAAGTCTGTAGAGAGCAGTACCTTTAGTTTGCAATCTATGTACCGCTTGTGTTAGAACATCAGTTGAGAAAGATATTATGGTAAGCGTCTATTGTTATTGTAAAAATATGGTTTATGGATACAATGATTATATCTGTATGCTTTGTGTTCAGTAAGCAATTAAGGGTCGTTTATTGTTTTGTTATCACCACCGTCGTTGGTGGTGCAAACATCCAACACTATCGCTATATGCATTATACGGCAGGGATCAAAAGTGTATCACTGCTAAATCGTTTAGTAACCCGACACCGAATAAACGATCATCAAAGGTGGATCGTGGTGCAAGACAACAGTGACCATGACCTTTGAACTAGCGGTTCATACGCTGAAGCGACGGTGGTGTTAACCTCTACATAGACGTCTCGGCCGTCAAAGCGACAGCGAAGCTGCACCGTAGACAGTCGGGTTGAAGTACAAGGCGACGGTGCTGGTGACCACCACACAGGCGGTTGATGTGCCCACACGACGGTGATGATATCCTTGACCCAGATGGATCGTTTGCTAATGCGGCGGTGTTAGTGTATACCCACAGATGGGCCGTGCTCCAATACGATGGAAGTAAGGACTATATCACAGACGAATGATAAGCCAATACGGCGGTGTAGTCTACACCACAATTGGTCTTAGATGACGACGATCATGCTATGACTATCACTGTCGACAGCTTACTGCCGAGGCCAAAATTGGATTGTGATGGAGGTTACGACGCGACTGTAAAAGGTGCGAGTGTAGTGGTGTCTAAGCGCAAGATCTTGCCAGGAGGAGTCAAGTTATGTCTCCTACTCAGGGTGGATGTAGGTTGCTAGTGGAGGAGAGGCTAGACGGAGGATACTGCATTTGCCCAGGTGAGCTGACCTTACACTAGGGGAAGAACTGGGTGTCGAGGGAAGAGGCCAGATGGAGGTGGAGCGGCCAAGGAGGAGGTCGGGCGAAGGGGGCATCGGGCGGTAACACGCCAGGCTCGGGCGAGCAGGGTTCGGGGCGAAGCAACACTAACCCTCAAGGAAAGCAGCAAAACCACCAAGGAAATAACTCCTGGTGGCCAACACTCAAGGAAGGACCGCCAAGGGTAAAGAGTCAGGGAAATAGCTATTACCTTGAGGGCCGACTGCCACAAATCAATTCCTTGAGGGCTGAGTCATCAAGAAAACAAATAAGTGGTCAGATTATTAACACTATCAAGGAAATGTAACAACAGCCAAGGTTATATGTTTCCTTGAGTGCCGAAGACACTCAAAGAAATGTAACGACATCCAAGGATATATGTTTCCTTGAGTGTGACATCCAAGAAAATGTAACACCCCTCAAGGATTTATGTTTTCTTTAGGGCCAATGACACCCTATATACCTTGAGAACCGATGACCCTCAAGGATATATATAGGAAAAAGGAGAAATAATCACATGTTTGTTATAGTTAGGAGTCAAAGTCACGACCTAAGATTTCGCGTGAAACCCACTTACCACTACACCACGAAGTTTTTTGTGACTAAGTGAATGTCACTTTCTTTTTTGTTTTCGCTTTAGTGGGTCTTAAAATGAATATTAGAGAGACTAAACAATTTTAAATGAAAAAGTTTGAACTAAAAAGTTTTATACCTCGTCGAGTACTACAACTTTGGTTTAGGTTGTATCTCCATCTGAGGTTATTTGAAATAATTTAAAATTTTGAAGTCCAAAAATATGATAACTTAAAACATAGTTTGTGGACTTCAAATAATTTCAATGAAAAAGTCATCAACTACTAAGTTGTATATCTCTTAGGGCTATGCAACTTTGATATAAACTTTGCCACCATACGATATTAGTATGTTTGCATGTTAGTTTTAAATCTAACTAGGCATCTCAAGCTAAGTGTCAGTATGCATTCTTTAATGCATAACAACACAAAATTATACCTTTTGTTGGATTAATGTACTAAGAAAAAAATGTGTTTCATTTCACAAACATTTCCATGGAACATTTATGTCTCTAAAATGCAATGTCTAACTAATAATAATACATTGAGTTCAATATATCGGTGGTTAAGAGAAATATGACTATAAACTAAAATATTTTCCTTGGCATGTACAATAATTTACTTGAGGGTTTGCACCCAAGGAAACTAGCACTTCCTTGGTGGTTTCCAGTTACACCCAAGAAAATGTGAATTACCTTGGCGGTGTCTAATAACACTTAAGGAAATATGAATTACCTTTACGGTTTTGAATAGCACCCAAGCAAATGAGGAAATACCTTGGCGGTTCATACTATCACTCAAGAAAATATGGAATTAACTTGGCGGTTTCAGTTAGCACTCCAGAATATACATTTTCTTGGAGGTTTCGTACAACCTCCAAGGTAATGATATATCCTACGGGGTTCAATTTCGTCTCTCAAGGAAATTGCTGGCCCTAAGGATATTCAGTTTTCTGGTAGTGCAGGAAGATAAGCCACCAAAACATAAAAGTAGGATCCTCCTCCACGTTTGAATGAGGGACCGAGAGGAAAATTTGAGGGCCTTCTACTTTTAGGGGTTCTGTTGGACCTATGTTTTTTTATCTAAGCCCTTAAATTTTAGTTAGGGCATTTTTTAGGGCTCTGCCGGAGTTGCTCTTCGAGCCAAGATGGATTTGTGGTTTAAGGGTGTGCATGCCAAATCTCTATCTCTTATAAAGCAAAACTCCACCATAATATTTCTCTGTAATTTCGTGAAGCCACATCATCTCAAGACCCCACCAAATCATTAAGCTAAGTTATAAATTGCACGCCCACCAAATACCAACAAAGAATGAAGAGACATCCAAATAATTGCGGCAAAACCATTAAGGAACCAAGGGTTATATAACATTATTTATCCATCATGGACATGGACAGCCTACGACTCCACACAATAAATTGGAATTTAACCATACAGGCCGCTTCCTCTCTCCAATGACATATATATTTTGCCTCGGCCGAAGCCACTGCATAGCTAGACACGTACTCTCGACTGCAGCCCGTGCCCGTGTCTACTATCGTGTAGAGGCAGAATGCAAACTGGCAGTCTGGCACCATGCAGCATACGCCATCAATCTATAGGTTCACCACATGCGGCTCCATATATGAGTATCGCAACAAATTCAGGAGTACCGCTGCTACACATGCTTCCTCTTCCTCTGTTGCTAGAGAATCAATTCTCTCCCGGAAACTATATTCTCCACAAATCATGGTAAGGTATTTCTCTCTTGCTTCAGTGTATTACATATATAATCATCCATTTTTTTCAATTTGATTCTACAGTTTCTCCTTACTGTTTTAACGTGATTGCTCACTTATTTCTTTATTTTGTTGCAGATATCCAGCCTTTTCTGTTTGTACAAATTTGATGTTTCAGTTCTATCGATAGAATCGGCACAATCACAAGTTTAATTTAAAGTATTATTAGATGATAAACCACACCATTTGAATTTTGGGCACGTTCTTACGTGTTCAAATAAAAAATGGCATGTGCTCATAGTTTATCCGAGATACACTTATTCTATATGATTAAGAATTATGCAACGCACACACGTCTTCGTCTTATATGCTCATCGCCATTCAAGGTTGATACGGGGATTATGCTGATGCCCTTTTGCACCCATTTGTGTTTTATATGCCATATAAAATGTGTCCACTGTTGGTACTAATGGTTTTTATATTTCCCCTCTAGGATACAAATTGTATTATATTTCATCATGCTACCCCTAAATAATTCCTTTCCTCTTCTATAATATTTTCTTCATTCGTCATATAAATTACATTCTAAAATTTCGCAGCAAACGCATGGGAAATTCTTTTAGCTAAAGTAACGTCAAAGGCACTAAGAGTGGAGCCTAGGCCACAGTGCAGTACAGAGCCCGGGGCGTGGTGCAAGAATACAAATTGAGCACGCTGATTGTGGCCAGATGGAAATATATATATATGGGATATATAAGACACTCTTATTGATTTCCCTATAGCGACACAAGCGGCATTCAGCTAATCTGAAAGAAACAGCGTCTTTCGGGTAGGCCAAAACTCTGTAACTCGTGCGGTCTTCCCCTCACTTGGATCACAAGATGATGCAAGAGAATTGGTCCCAAATTTCCACTTCCCAGCAGCCATGGTTGACCACAAACGCAGGCAGGACACAGACTTACATGCATGCAGCCCTACCTCGAACTCGAAGCACTATAAATAGGGCCATGTGCCCCATGTGTATATCATCCACACCCCTAGCTCTCAAATCGAAGCTGCCGCAGAGACCTTACTGCTTAAGCAAGTAGCTTCACCGAGCTAGTGTGCAGGTTGCCATGGCGGCTCCTACCTTGATGCAATGCTTGGTCGCCATTTCCCTCCTCTCCTGTGTCACCCACGCACAGCTCTCGACCACGTTCTACGCATCCTCCTGCCCCAACCTGCAGACCATCGTGCGGACGGCGATGACCCAGGCCGTCAGCGCTGAGCCGAGGATGGGCGCCTCTCTGCTCAGGCTCTTCTTCCACGACTGCTTTGTTCAAGTACTAGCTAGAATCCTCACACTGTTCATCTAGCTGTTCTTATAACAACTAACAACACACCATTTCTGCATGCTATGCTGGACAATTCAGTTTAACCGCGATGTATGTATGCCTCCGGTAACACTATGTGATTGTGATGCCAGGGTTGCGACGGATCGATCCTTCTCGACGCCGGAGGGGAGAAGACGGCCGGCCCCAACGCCAACTCGGTGCGCGGCTTTGAGGTCATCGACACCATCAAGACGAACGTGGAGGCCGCGTGCCCCGGCGTCGTGTCGTGCGCCGACATCCTCGCGCTCGCCGCGCGCGACGGAACGAATCTTGTACGCACGCCTACTAGTTTCTTTGTTTATGACATGCGCTGCGCCTGCGCGTCATATCAGTTATCCAGTGTGTATGGTCGGCATGCGTCTGACACTTTTCCTTCGTTTGTTGTTGTTGTGCGTATACGTACGTAGCTCGGCGGGCCGACCTGGAACGTGCCGCTGGGCCGGCGGGACTCGACGACGGCGAGCGCCTCCCTCGCCAACAACAACCTCCCGGGACCCGGGTCCAGCCTTGCCACCCTCATCTCCCTGTTCGGCAGGCAGGGCCTGTCGGCGCGCGACATGACGGCGCTGTCGGGCGCGCACACCATCGGGCAGGCCCGGTGCACCACCTTCCGGGGCCGCATCTACGGCGACACCAACATCAACGCCTCCTTCGCGGCGCTGCGGCAGCAGACGTGCCCGCGGTCGGGCGGCGACGGCACCCTGGCGCCCATCGACGTGCAGACGCCGGCGAGGTTCGACACGGACTACTACACCAACCTGCTGTCGCAGCGGGGCCTGTTCCACTCGGACCAGGAGCTCTTCAACGGCGGGTCGCAGGACGCGCTGGTGAGGCAGTACAGCGCCAGCGCCTCGCTCTTCAACAGCGACTTCGTGGCGGCCATGATTAAGATGGGCAACGTTGGGGTGCTCACCGGCACCGCCGGACAGATCAGGCGCAACTGCCACGTCGTCAACAGCTAGTAGATAGATATGCCTAGATACGGATCGGATATACTTCTAGCTAGCTTGCTGTTGCTGTCGATTGACCGCCCATGGATGGGTCGAAATCGACCGACATGTACAGCTAGCTAGCTAGATTCTCATGAACTACACTACTCGATCTCTAGTATATAGTAGAATAAGTGGTGAACGACCACGCAAGGAGTGAACGAAGCAGTGTCCAGGTCATATCGAGATGATTCACCTAATGTTATAGTAAACCACTTAGCAAGGAGTTGCTATAATCTCGTAAATTAACATAGTAATTATCGTAACTCAAAGTAGCTACAGAATAAGTTATTTTAAAGCCAACTACAGGGCAGTGTGTATATATATATATATATATATGTTAGTAAAATCAATGTATTTAAAAAAATAAAAACATCTTATAATTCGAAATGGATGGACTACTACCAGCGTTCAGCTATTCATCAAGCGTGCATCGAGTCCATCTCCCTCCTGGGTAGCGTACCTGTGTGACGTGGTCGGTCTGGGAAACTTCCTCTCGTATACGTGCGCCAGTCCAAGAGGAGTCAGGACTCACGCATAAAGAATTCCGGGTGGTGAACGGCCGCTTCTGATTGTGAATATGGTATTTGTGGCGAGAAACGAACAAATGAAAAACATGCAATAATTCACGAGGGAGAGGAGCGTCGTTAGCGACGTGGCCGCCACCGCCAGCCTGGTCCGTGCGTGCCGGACCAGACAGACTACCGGTCAACCAAATCCGGCTAATGATCGGATCAAGCTGCAGAGTTTGGCCCAGAATTTTGTACGTGATGCATCATGCATGCAAGTGCAGGCGTCAACGACCGCCATGCATGCACGCGCATAGCCTGCCGCATCCCCCTGCCTACGAACTGAAGGTCGAGCCTCGAGAAGCTAGATCAGGCCACCCTGAGCATCTCTCGTCTCATCGATCCACCATCGAGCTCTTTTCTAGCAAAAAAGCAAACTGCTCTCTACTCTCATCTCTTCTATCTAAATAAAGGGCTACTCCTAGGTGGCTAGCTAGTAGGCGCACAAGCTAGCCATGGCCACATTCACCTGCAGGTCCATGACCTTCCTCGCCCTCGCCGTCATCCTCGTTGCCCTGCTCACCGGCGCCGCGGACGCGCAGCAGCTCTCGCCCAACTTCTACTCCAAGACATGCCCGAACCTGGCCACCATCGTGCGGCAGCAGATGGCGTCCGCCGTGGCGGCGGAGAAGCGCATGGGCGCCTCCATCCTCCAGTCCGAATGTTCTTCCACGACTGCTTCGTCAATGTAAGAAGAGCCGCATGCATGCAACTGCAACCCATGCATGCATCAATGTGCCGACATCCTCGCGCTCGCCGCCCGTGACAGGGTCAACCTGGTTAGTAGTAGCTAGCAGGACTCTGCTTCTGCTTCCTCTTCCTCCCGTGACGACTGACGACCTCTCGTTACAATGCAGCTGGGAGGGCCGACTTGGAGCGTGCTGCTGGGCCGGAAGGACTCGCGGACGGCGAGCCAGAGCCTGGCCAACTCGAACCTGCCAGGCCCGGGGTCCAGCCTCGCCACCCTCATCAGGATGTTCGGCAACCAGGACCTGTCGGCGCGCGACATGACGGCGCTGTCGGGCGCGCACACCGTCGGCAGGTCGCAGTGCCAGTTCTTCCGCACCCGGATCTACACCGAGAGCAACATCAACGCCAGCTTCGCGGCGCTGCGGCAGCAGACGTGCCCGCGCTCCGGCGGCGACGCCACGCTGGCGCCGTTCGACGTGCAGACCGCCGACGGGTTCGACAACGCCTACTACCAGAACCTGGTGGCGCAGAAGGGCCTGCTGCACTCGGACCAGGAGCTCTTCAACGGCGGGTCGCAGGACGCGCTGGTCAGGCAGTACAGCACCAACGCCGCGCAGTTCTCCGCGGACTTCGTCTCCGCGATGATCAAGATGGGCAACCTCATGCCGTCGTCAGGGACGCCCACGGAGGTCAGGCTCAACTGCAGGAAGCTCAACTAGCTAGCTAGCTAATTGAAATTGAAACCAAGGTCATCATGCATGGTCAGGTTTATATATTATATTACATGATGAAAGGATAATTCCAAATGTGTAGTGCACTTGTTCGTCCGCTCAAGTTCTCCGGCCGGGTGACAGCACGGAAGTGTAATAAGACAGTATATATATATATATGTACACTGTATGTCTGAATGTCAGATCACAAGATTACATAATACAAAAGGCTGGCATTATATTACTGTATCACACAGTTCCGTCCAATTTACTATCACAGTCCCAGGATAGCTTCATCATGCATGTGCCTAGTATATTCCTTTGGTCGATCACAATCATCACAAAATAAAAGATGGTTGTTTTTGGATAATATTTGGTCATAGACACATTACTTTTGGCCACAACTTTGGTGGTAGAGGGAGTATCTTATTAAGTCTTCAGTACAAGTAAAAGACGAAGACATGCATGATGTGTGCGATTTCCAAAAATCCCTACCATAATTTGGTAGTATTAAGGATGTTCTTCACTGCAAGTACCCTCTAGCCTCACTACACCACGTCACCAAGATTGACGATGTCAGAGACTCACCTTGTACCAAATTCCAGCACAATGCACTTTTTGAGGTAACACACTGTGGTTTTATTTTTTGGCATCTAGTTGACACCGGAAGATTTATATCACGCACAGTGCAACGACGAAAGGTAAAACAAAATCCTCTGGAACTGCTTAGGATTTTTTGGCATCTAGATGGACAACACTTACTATTAGGATTCTGTTCCACAAACAAATAATGGAAGCCTAATCTTTTTCTTTCAAAGAGAAAAGGGAGAAAAAGGAATGAGAAGAATTACGCAGTACTTTTCAGCAAAAGAGCAGTATTTTTTTCTCACAACGCATTAGCATAAGCCAAATTTCAGCGAAACAATGCAGGCGGTTCACACTGTATTGTACATCCGATATTTTGCCAGTCACAGTCACAGGCATGCTGACCGTAGGTAGCTGCAGTTTCCACATGGATAATGGATTTAGCTCGCCTCGAGGAGAACCAAGGTCCATGACTCCATTGGCTTGTGTACTGCAGATGCGGCGCCCATGCAGATTGCCCTGGGTACATGTCGTTTTCATGCTCACACCGAGGGGAGGTCAACCCATGGAGCTTCTACGGCTACTCGCTACCCAAGAGAAGGAAAGCGTAGTGGTCAGAGCTGTTTACGCATTTCTGCATGCATGGTGCAGGCAACCGGCATCGGTCGAAGTCCAAATTAGCAGCCCCGGTCGCCACATGATGTTAGTGCGGCCGACTCCCAGTAGGCCAGTACCATAGAGAACCGAGCACAACACTCTTCTCCGATCCAATCACCCGAGTTGGACCTCGACCACTGCTTCCCTCTGGTCGGTATCACCACTGTCCACTACGGCACACCGCAGTGGGTCGGCCGGCGTCTGGCCCTTTTTCGCAGCAGCCGTGCGCTAGACTGGTGCGATACCGAGTTGTGGAGCAGAAACTCTCACAAGCGGCAGTCTCGGCACGCCACATGCGAGCAGAGTGGCCACCGCTGAGTGCTGGCGCTGGCGGGTGCTCGCCAGCGACGCCCGCGCGCTCGCGGAGGGGTGCTGTCGTGTCTCTCTGCGTCCCATGTTCGACGTCCCGTCCGCAGAGGCAGGCAGCGCGACGTGCGCCAGACAGCCCGAGCGGCTTCGGTGCGGCCGTGCGGCGGCACTGATCTGCGCCACAGCTTTATCACAGATTGGCCGGTCAGGCTGGGATCTTTTGCCGGACTCTGCTATTGCACTAGCCCTTAGTTTAAGAGACACAAGCGTTACAATTTCGAGTGTACATTTAGAACCCAAAGGTAACTAACATTGTTAGCATCTGCTCTCTTTCTCTCTCATTTGTTTCTGTCAAGGCACAGTATCCATATATTTTCAGTCTCCTGTTGATCTCTAGAGAATGTAACTTAGACGGCAAATTTTGGGTCTTAATATGATAA